CAAAACAACTATAAGAAAATATGATCAAAATATCAAACCTTTAGAGCCAACCATGCAAGCTTTTTAGTATCAGAAGTTGATCTCCCAAACAACATCATATGTTCTGCAAGGGAACTTGATGAATCATTATTTTGTATTATTCACTTAGCTTTCTACACCGAATTGTATTAGTGAATTGTGTTTAATTCTCCATTATTGTCTCATTTTCACTATTTGGACTTAATTTAACTAGTAATTCTTATTTTAATTAATTTGAATTATTTGGGCTTAATTATTTCAATTAATATTTGCAGAACAATTTTGGAATTATTATTGGGACTTCAAGAGGGCTGCCACATCATTTATTATTTTTCACATCAACATTTTATTCTAATTTCATTTTTAATAACTTTTGGCCCATTTTTGGGCAAATTTTGTATAAGCCCATATAAAGGGCAAAATTGTAAAATGGTCTTTTAAAACCCTTGAATCAGATTTTAGAAGTCTCTCCTCTTCTCACTTTTTCATTTTCTTAGGCTCTTGGACATTTTCCAGCCCCTCCCCCCTTGGGGGTTTAGGTTTTTCTTTCTTTCGTCTTTCCTTTATGTATTTAATTTCATTCTAATTGCAATGTTGGTTCACATTTCATGTTCTTGCTTCAATTTACTTCTCCAATTGCATTTTCGTGTTCCATTTCAGTTTGGTTTACATATTTCCAATTCATTTTCTGTTGCAATTTCATTAGCAATTTAATTGTGCAGTTTCATTTTACCAATTCTATTGCATTTTTGAATCTGTTTTGCAATTCCATTTTCTGCACTTTCGTTCCATATTTAATGTTGTTTTTAGTTCTGTTTTTTTGTGTTAATTTCATTTTAATGGTAGCCTAAGTGTTCTTGGTTGGTCATTAGCAACATTGCATCGTTTCCATGAGATTTCTACACTATGATTGTCATTTTGTTCCTCTTGCCTCACTCAGTATTGAATATGTTTATGCACTTGCAATTGGGTATATGCTTAGTTGCCTAATTGGTGTTTAAACTCCGCTTAATTGATGAACTGTATGGTACAAAATTGACTGAATATGAGCATTGTGTTTCCTTAATTCGCTTTTATGAAAATATGGTTAGTCTTCGCTTAGTTGGTTAATTTGTGTTGGATTAAGGGTTAGAGGAGTGGGTAATTGTTGTTAATTTGTTATTGGAACAATGCAATTGAGCTAGTGATCAAGCACTTTCAATTAGTGTTTAAATCCATGCTTTAGTTGTTTAATTTCACTTAGATATTTTGTCCAAAAATCACCCCCACCACGTGTTCGATCTAATGACTGAACTAATGTTGGTCCTTGAGAGACGACCTAGGAGTCACTTCCTAGTTTATATTTCACTTTAATTGCATATTGATTTGATTGGGTACGGCCTCAATTAGAACTATTTAAAAAATGGCTTTAACATACATTTATATAACAAAGAAAATCCAAGCATTGAGATTCTTACCAATCTACTACTTGCCTGAGATGTTTAGGAGAAGACTTGTGCAATGAGAAAAACCACACAAAATGTTCTTCGGTATGGAAACCACAAATAGATGCCAATGGTGCTTGGAATTGATAATAACTTAATTGTTATATATTAAAATCACAGATGGAACTTTGAAGTTAACAAACAAAACTTACCCATATATATAAGGGACGAAATATATGTCCTTCCCCCTTCTAAAGTTGTTAGTGAGGTATGTTTGGATGTCATCAAATTTATTTCCTTCGTGAGTGCCTTGGGGATCAATGAACCCATAGACATCATCATACCCCAAATTGTTACTTACACCAAACATATACCTGAAATCAAAAATTACATTTGATATAAGTAACTTGATATATAAATCAATTTTATATAAATAATTGCACATAGGCTTACAACATCCATAGTTGAATTAATGTGATATTCAACTCTTCTTTTCGTGATGCAAGCTCCATGACATCTTGCTCATGCAAATACAATGGGATCTTAGAGCCTCTCCCAAATACATTAGGATTCCATTCAACCATCATCAACTTATCTGCAATGATGTCATAAAGTTGGTGTAATGCACCAAGAAAATCGTCCTCAGATAAACAAATTTTCTTCTCTCCATGCGTTTGTTGTTACATGGAAAAATAGGATAAGTTTGGACATCAATGATCGAGTTCGTACCCGAATCAAATTAATGAGCAATTATAAATGCAATATACTAGGAAGTGTCTCTCAAGGACCAATTGTTGGTTCAGTCAAAGGATCAAACACGTAGTGGGCGGGGGGTTTTTGACAGATTTTGTGAACAAAATTATGAATACAAGGCACAAATGAAAGACACGAATTAAAACAGGTTGGTCACTAGATCATTGCAATGCTTCCAATCCCATATTAACAATAATTAATCACTCCTCTCACCCCTAATCCAATAGATTGAATTAAGCAAACGCAATGCACCTTATTTAATCGATTCTTCACCATACAGATTAACTAACTAAGCAAAAATTAAACCCAATTAGACCACTAAGTGTGTCCTAATTGCAAGTGAAAAACAAATTGAACGTGATGCAAGGTAAGGTAGTAGAATTACATTAACGGTGCGGAAATCTCATGGAAACGTTGTAATGACACTAATTACCAACCCAAACAGATTTAAGCTACCATTAAAACTACATCAATACAGCAAAATGAAATATAAAACATCATGAAATCTGGAACAAAATGCATAATACAAAATTGGAATTCAACTACAAAATGAAATTGGAAAACAAAATTGAAAAACACAACTACAATCAAAATAGAAACCACAAATGCATGTAGAGACAAAATTGAAAACGCAAATGCATATAGAAACCAAATGCAATTGCAAATGGGAAATGAAATTGAATCAAGAACGAAAACGAAATGGGAATTAAAATAAAGTTAATTCGCTACAAGAAAAGGAAATTGAAAGCAAACCTAAACTCCCAAAAATGGGAGTTGAAAACGTCCCAAAGCCTAAAATTGGGAATGAAGAGAGTGTATACATTTTTTCTCCCTTTCGGGTACTAAAACCTAAGTCCCAAGGTCAGCCCACAATTTGGAATTTTACAAACTTGACCAAAAATGGGCCCAAATGTAATTCTGGTCCAAAATACAAAGGAAAAACGAAATTACAAATGAAATTAAAATAAAATGTTGAGGTGGAAATTAACATATGACGTGACAACTCTCTTTATGTCCCAAAATATAATCCCAAACATTGCCCTGAAAATAATAATGAGAATAATTAAACTCAGATAATCCAAATTAATTAAAATATGAATTACTGACCAAATTATGCCCAATTAGCAAAATTGAGAAAATAATGGACAATTAAGCACAATTTACTAATTAAATTCGGTTCGGAAAGCTAAGTGAATAGGACAAAATAATGCTTCATCAATCAATAACATGTAAACTTTAAAATTGAGAAGTGTAAAGTAGAAGTCCATTAGGGGGGGTTAGAAATAGAACCAACCATATGTTTAGGCCAAGCGATAAAAGATTGGAATGTGTGTGCCACAATGAAAATCTCATCGGTTGGTAGAGGAACTGACACATATGGTATGATAATGTCATATATTTGAGACCTTGACCTCATTCTATGACAACTTCATTCTATGAACAATAGTTGTTTCGTGATCTCCTACGTAAGCCTTTCTTCATACTCTTGGTTGTGTGTCTATGAAGTGTGACGCGAGGAGCTTCCAAAATAATCTCGAATGCCTACACTAGTTCCCGCAGCACACACTCGTCTAAGGTTCTCAGGTCGTTCAATTGTAGTAGTAAGAATATCATAACGACCTTCTAGAGTGAATTGACCTTGGCAGCTCTTCTCAACCAAGGGTCCTGTAACATAACAAAACACCATTATGTTTTAAAAAGTTCAATCTAATATGTATAATGAAACTATTACTATTATAGGAAAAGCGATATCTTACAATTCTTTTTTATATTTCTCGTGCAGTCTTAGAAGTGTAGGAACCTGATGATCGTAAACGGGATAACTTCCACTTCTCATGCCATGATGGTAGTGAAGGAGGTTGGTGACTACCACCCTTAGGAAGTACGGGTCTACCTTCTGTCTTTTTCTTGATGATTTTCTATTCAAGCTTCCTATACCTATCACGAGATAATAAGGGGAGATTTTTATTTTTAGCACTTATAGCTTGTGCTTTTGTCCTTGTTTCCTATAAAATTGTTAATGAAGAATTGAATAATATCAACTATATTAGCTTGTCATGCCTTTAATGTCCGACTCTCTACAAATTGATGTCAAGTCTCTTCGTCAATTGTCTTATATTTAACACATAGAAACTCATTTTTTTTTGCTCAAAAAAATATCTCGAGATGAATTTAATCTTAAAATTTTAAAATTTGTCAACAATAAAGGATAAACATTAAATTCTAAATGTCGCCTCCGAACGTCATATGCAATAAAGAGAATAAATTTGTATCAATACAAAATTATGTGTAAATCAAAACCTATTACTCATTTTATCATTATAAACATGTTTCGATTCCCTTTAGCTGCGATGCAAAACTGATCAAATACAAAATCAATGTTAAATCAATAAAAAAATAAACCGCGGCTTTAATCTCTTCCTAAAATAAAATTCAGGCTAAACTACTAGATATTTAATTTTTTTATTTATTTTACATATAAACTTATTTTTATTAATGAATATTAAATTAAATTATTATATTTTATTTAAGTTTTTATATGTACTTTTAATATTAAGAATTTATAAATTTATGTTTTAGATTTAAAATAGTTTTATTAATACTTCAAATGATTAAATTTGGAAGAAGTAGTTTAATCAGTTTAAATAGAGATTGGAGTCTGAAAATTTTGAGAGTGATGATAGAGATAGCGGAAGTGGAAGTGTGATAAAAGTGACAAATGACAAGTTGGCGGATGATAATAATGGCGTGCCAATTCTAAAATGCTAATTCTCAAAAAATCATAATTTCAATTATTTTAATATTCTCCAAACTTTAGTTAGCACATTGTTCATGCTACAACCCATCATTCCTTTCTCTTTCCTCTTCCTTCACTGCAAACACAATTATTCTATTTTGTTGCATCTGAGGGCTGATGGTATCACTGTTGATGACTTCAGTTTTGCCCCTTCTTCTCAGAACTACCATTTTCCTTTTCTCAGAATCTTTCTTTGATGGACAAGGCAGCTGCTGAACTTCAACGTGAGGCAGCAGATCCTTCTACTCTTCGTCACCATCATCAGGTGATTTTGCCAAACCCTCTTGTTGAAATCTTCAATGGTGAAAACTGAAACCCCTTTTTACTTGTGCCATGATTGCTCTTCACACCAAATGGGTTTCATTTGGTTTGAGCCACAAAGGGACCAAGATAATGCAAAGTTCATTTTTTTTACCATATGGGTAAAGGAGAATTTTGCCTTTTCTTTTCTCCTTCTTTGGAAAAAGGAAAGCTTTAACTTCATTATGTGTGTTAGTTTACAGTGAAATAGTTTTGATGCCCTATTTTTTTAGTGTTGTGCTGGAAATGGGATTGGTGACAGTACCTCCTTGATTCTAGAGTCCAGAAGACCACGTCTCTCCTCTCTGCAAATACCAGCAAGGTCAGTGGAAAATGCATTATCCTCTTTCACAAAGACAGATGGTCCTACATTGATATCAAGTCCAGGTTCCAGTAGAGGACTTCCCCCAAGGCCAAATTCAGCCAGAGTCAAGTCCACTATGAAAAGTTTGCTCTCTGAGAGGAGCTTTAGGGCTAAGAATGGTTCACAAGATAGTGAAAGGACAGTTCTTATTGTTCCTGATAACTTACCATCAGATTGTCCTGTGGATAAGCCTTCAACATCTAAGCCTTCAACTTCAAGGTCTCTTTCTCTTAACAAGATTCTGTTTGCTTCATCAACCAAAGCCACACATTCATTGCCAGTTACTCCAACTGCAAATTCAGGTGCAGAGATTGTACAAGGAAGACATCCAGGGTGTGATTCTGATTTAAGTGTATGATTCTTCTGTTCCCATTCTTGTTTCATGGCCTCAAAACAAATACTTTCACACCAATCTAAATAATGTGGGTGTTAACACATAGGCAAAGCTTTTCTACATTTTTTTTTCGTATAAATGGTATTTGATACTTCAGATATGGTGCTTTGATGATGAATTTTCATTCTGTACAGAAAATGGAAGTAAATCAGCACATTACTCGATCGGTTTCCGTTCCTGTTAATATCAAAGCCGCTAATTTAAGACGTACAGATTCTAGAAGGTTGGTTCGTGTAATTTCGGCAAGATCACTTCTAACAACTGGTGAAGGCATCTCAACTCAGAATGCTTCCGGTTCAGAGATTGGTAATCTTCATAATATATGGATTCTATCTTACATTTTTTCTGGGTATCTCAATTAGAATTTTCTTTTTTCTAAAGTAACACTTAAGTGTTTGGCAAACAACAGTTTCTCTATGAGACACTGAACCATAAAAGATTAGCAATGTGATCCATAGAGGAAGGAAAAAATAGGAGTAATAATTAGTTGAAAATAAGACTTATTTTATTATTCTCAAATCATAAAAAATACATTCTCATACCCTCTATTTGTAATAATCTAGTTCTCCTAAAAAGAGAAATAGGGANTATTATTGTTTCCTAGTCACTTGTAATATGAGCACGAAAACTGTGTGTAATCCAATACATTACATAGTATATGCACTCATATGACCCACTTTGTCTATTACACTACAATATATCATCATAGTTATAAATAGATAATGAAAATCACTAGAACAAAACAACTATAAGAAAATATGATCAAAATATCAAACCTTTAGAGCCAACCATGCAAGCTTTTTAGTATCAGAAGTTGATCTCCCAAACAACATCATATGTTCTGCAAGGGAACTTGATGAATCATTATTTTGTATTATTCACTTAGCTTTCTACACCGAATTGTATTAGTGAATTGTGTTTAATTCTCCATTATTGTCTCATTTTCACTATTTGGACTTAATTTAACTAGTAATTCTTATTTTAATTAATTTGAATTATTTGGGCTTAATTATTTCAATTAATATTTGCAGAACAATTTTGGAATTATTATTGGGACTTCAAGAGGGCTGCCACATCATTTATTATTTTTCACATCAACATTTTATTCTAATTTCATTTTTAATAACTTTTGGCCCATTTTTGGGCAAATTTTGTATAAGCCCATATAAAGGGCAAAATTGTAAAATGGTCTTTTAAAACCCTTGAATCAGATTTTAGAAGTCTCTCCTCTTCTCACTTTTTCATTTTCTTAGGCTCTTGGACATTTTCCAGCCCCTCCCCCCTTGGGGGTTTAGGTTTTTCTTTCTTTCGTCTTTCCTTTATGTATTTAATTTCATTCTAATTGCAATGTTGGTTCACATTTCATGTTCTTGCTTCAATTTACTTCTCCAATTGCATTTTCGTGTTCCATTTCAGTTTGGTTTACATATTTCCAATTCATTTTCTGTTGCAATTTCATTAGCAATTTAATTGTGCAGTTTCATTTTACCAATTCTATTGCATTTTTGAATCTGTTTTGCAATTCCATTTTCTGCACTTTCGTTCCATATTTAATGTTGTTTTTAGTTCTGTTTTTTTGTGTTAATTTCATTTTAATGGTAGCCTAAGTGTTCTTGGTTGGTCATTAGCAACATTGCATCGTTTCCATGAGATTTCTACACTATGATTGTCATTTTGTTCCTCTTGCCTCACTCAGTATTGAATATGTTTATGCACTTGCAATTGGGTATATGCTTAGTTGCCTAATTGGTGTTTAAACTCCGCTTAATTGATGAACTGTATGGTACAAAATTGACTGAATATGAGCATTGTGTTTCCTTAATTCGCTTTTATGAAAATATGGTTAGTCTTCGCTTAGTTGGTTAATTTGTGTTGGATTAAGGGTTAGAGGAGTGGGTAATTGTTGTTAATTTGTTATTGGAACAATGCAATTGAGCTAGTGATCAAGCACTTTCAATTAGTGTTTAAATCCATGCTTTAGTTGTTTAATTTCACTTAGATATTTTGTCCAAAAATCACCCCCACCACGTGTTCGATCTAATGACTGAACTAATGTTGGTCCTTGAGAGACGACCTAGGAGTCACTTCCTAGTTTATATTTCACTTTAATTGCATATTGATTTGATTGGGTACGGCCTCAATTAGAACTATTTAAAAAATGGCTTTAACATACATTTATATAACAAAGAAAATCCAAGCATTGAGATTCTTACCAATCTACTACTTGCCTGAGATGTTTAGGAGAAGACTTGTGCAATGAGAAAAACCACACAAAATGTTCTTCGGTATGGAAACCACAAATAGATGCCAATGGTGCTTGGAATTGATAATAACTTAATTGTTATATATTAAAATCACAGATGGAACTTTGAAGTTAACAAACAAAACTTACCCATATATATAAGGGACGAAATATATGTCCTTCCCCCTTCTAAAGTTGTTAGTGAGGTATGTTTGGATGTCATCAAATTTATTTCCTTCGTGAGTGCCTTGGGGATCAATGAACCCATAGACATCATCATACCCCAAATTGTTACTTACACCAAACATATACCTGAAATCAAAAATTACATTTGATATAAGTAACTTGATATATAAATCAATTTTATATAAATAATTGCACATAGGCTTACAACATCCATAGTTGAATTAATGTGATATTCAACTCTTCTTTTCGTGATGCAAGCTCCATGACATCTTGCTCATGCAAATACAATGGGATCTTAGAGCCTCTCCCAAATACATTAGGATTCCATTCAACCATCATCAACTTATCTGCAATGATGTCATAAAGTTGGTGTAATGCACCAAGAAAATCGTCCTCAGATAAACAAATTTTCTTCTCTCCATGCGTTTGTTGTTACATGGAAAAATAGGATAAGTTTGGACATCAATGATCGAGTTCGTACCCGAATCAAATTAATGAGCAATTATAAATGCAATATACTAGGAAGTGTCTCTCAAGGACCAATTGTTGGTTCAGTCAAAGGATCAAACACGTAGTGGGCGGGGGGTTTTTGACAGATTTTGTGAACAAAATTATGAATACAAGGCACAAATGAAAGACACGAATTAAAACAGGTTGGTCACTAGATCATTGCAATGCTTCCAATCCCATATTAACAATAATTAATCACTCCTCTCACCCCTAATCCAATAGATTGAATTAAGCAAACGCAATGCACCTTATTTAATCGATTCTTCACCATACAGATTAACTAACTAAGCAAAAATTAAACCCAATTAGACCACTAAGTGTGTCCTAATTGCAAGTGAAAAACAAATTGAACGTGATGCAAGGTAAGGTAGTAGAATTACATTAACGGTGCGGAAATCTCATGGAAACGTTGTAATGACACTAATTACCAACCCAAACAGATTTAAGCTACCATTAAAACTACATCAATACAGCAAAATGAAATATAAAACATCATGAAATCTGGAACAAAATGCATAATACAAAATTGGAATTCAACTACAAAATGAAATTGGAAAACAAAATTGAAAAACACAACTACAATCAAAATAGAAACCACAAATGCATGTAGAGACAAAATTGAAAACGCAAATGCATATAGAAACCAAATGCAATTGCAAATGGGAAATGAAATTGAATCAAGAACGAAAACGAAATGGGAATTAAAATAAAGTTAATTCGCTACAAGAAAAGGAAATTGAAAGCAAACCTAAACTCCCAAAAATGGGAGTTGAAAACGTCCCAAAGCCTAAAATTGGGAATGAAGAGAGTGTATACATTTTTTCTCCCTTTCGGGTACTAAAACCTAAGTCCCAAGGTCAGCCCACAATTTGGAATTTTACAAACTTGACCAAAAATGGGCCCAAATGTAATTCTGGTCCAAAATACAAAGGAAAAACGAAATTACAAATGAAATTAAAATAAAATGTTGAGGTGGAAATTAACATATGACGTGACAACTCTCTTTATGTCCCAAAATATAATCCCAAACATTCCCCTGGAAATAATAATGAGAATAATTAAACTCAGATAATCCAAATTAACTAAAATATGAATTACTGACCAAATTATGCCCAATTAGCAAAATTGAGAAAATAATGGACAATTAAGCACAATTTACTAATTAAATTCGGTTCGGAAAGCTAAGTGAATAGGACAAAATAATGCTTCATCAATCAATAACATGTAAACTTTAAAATTGAGAAGTGTAAAGTAGAAGTCCATTAGGGGGGGTTAGAAATAGAACCAACCACATGTTTAGGCCAAGCGATAAAAGATTGGAATGTGTGTGCCACAATGAAAATCTCATCGGTTGGTAGAGGAACTGACACATATGGTATGATAATGTCATATATTTGAGACCTTGACCTCATTCTATGACAACTTCATTCTATGAACAATAGTTGTTTCGTGATCTCCTACGTAAGCCTTTCTTCATACTCTTGGTTGTGTGTCTATGAAGTGTGACGCGAGGAGCTTCCAAAATAATCTCGAATGCCTACACTAGTTCCCGCAGCACACACTCGTCTAAGGTTCTCAGGTCGTTCAATTGTAGTAGTAAGAATATCATAACGACCTTCTAGAGTGAATTGACCTTGGCAGCTCTTCTCAACCAAGGGTCCTGTAACATAACAAAACACCATTATGTTTTAAAAAGTTCAATCTAATATGTATAATGAAACTATTACTATTATAGGAAAAGCGATATCTTACAATTCTTTTTTATATTTCTCGTGCAGTCTTAGAAGTGTAGGAACCTGATGATCGTAAACGGGATAACTTCCACTTCTCATGCCATGATGGTAGTGAAGGAGGTTGGTGACTACCACCCTTAGGAAGTACGGGTCTACCTTCTGTCTTTTTCTTGATGATTTTCTATTCAAGCTTCCTATACCTATCACGAGATAATAAGGGGAGATTTTTATTTTTAGCACTTATAGCTTGTGCTTTTGTCCTTGTTTCCTATAAAATTGTTAATGAAGAATTGAATAATATCAACTATATTAGCTTGTCATGCCTTTAATGTCCGACTCTCTACAAATTGATGTCAAGTCTCTTCGTCAATTGTCTTATATTTAACACATAGAAACTCATTTTTTTTTGCTCAAAAAAATATCTCGAGATGAATTTAATCTTAAAATTTTAAAATTTGTCAACAATAAAGGATAAACATTAAATTCTAAATGTCGCCTCCGAACGTCATATGCAATAAAGAGAATAAATTTGTATCAATACAAAATTATGTGTAAATCAAAACCTATTACTCATTTTATCATTATAAACATGTTTCGATTCCCTTTAGCTGCGATGCAAAACTGATCAAATACAAAATCAATGTTAAATCAATAAAAAAATAAACCGCGGCTTTAATCTCTTCCTAAAATAAAATTCAGGCTAAAC